AGTAGTTTGACCCTCTACAAATACATTATTATTATTACTGGTATTAGGATTACTGCAGCAGTTACATCTGGAAACTATTTGTTTTCCAAATTTAATAATCACATCATCAAAGTGAAGTTTGCTATGCCATAGCCTCCACATCAAAAAGGACATTTTAAAAGGAATAGAAGAGTTCCATACTTTATCTATGAATTGAACTTTAGGGTTAGAATTCCTTACCAGATTCCATGCACTATTGTTTGTGTACTTACCATTATCTGAGAGAGCCCAAAAAAATTTGATCTTCCTTGTTTTGGTTGCCAATAGGAATGATTTGGATCTGTTGAGCCAGTTGAGCTGGTAGGAGCTCCTTCAATTTGTTTGTAGTCCATTGACCATCAGAGATGAATTCCCTTACCAATAATTTGGAATTATTTGGAGTATCAGGGAGCTGTTTTGCCAGAGGACCTTAAGGGACCAATTATCCCACCAGAAGTTACAAGAGCCAGAATTAACCTACCACACAATATGATTCTCTGCAATATCTCTTATTTTGAGAACATGACTCCAAGCATGGGAGTTACCTGGAGCAAGCTTTTTATAGACAAGATGAGATCTAACACAATATTAATTCCTAATGAAAGTAGCCAGAGAGATGATGTGGACCTTATCCTCCACCACCTTTTCATAGCAAACATGTTACTAATATCTTCCATTTTCCTAATGCCAATGCCTCCTACGTTAAAAGGATGGGCAAGATGGTTCCAAGAACTCCAATGATATTTTTTGTGATCCTCAGAGGAACCCCAGAAGAAATTAGCAAAATGTTTCTCAATTAACCTAAATACTCCCTTAGGGGGAGTCATAGCAGAGAGAGTGTACACTGGGATAGACTGAAGAACACTCTTAATAAGAGTAGCCTTACCCCATGAGAAAGTATTTTGTCTTGCCAGCCATTAAGCCTTTTTACAATTTTACTAATTATGTTATCAAAAAAGACAATTTTCTTCCCACCCACATACAATGGACAACCTAGATAAGTAAAAGGAAAATTCTTATCCATAAAGCCAGAGCATTTCCTAGTCCTGTTAATTCTAGTGGCAGCAGTATTAGGAGCAGTTAAGAAGTAACTTTTGTCCCTATTAACCATTTGTCCAGAACTTCTTTCATAGTTATCAATAACATCCATAACCAACTTGATAGAATTAGAACCACCACTACATAAGATAACAATGTCATCAGCATAAGCAAAGTGGTTGATCTTAGGGACATTTAGGGGCATGGAGAAAGGAATGAAGTTAGGATTTCTATACAAAGAGTTGAGAGATCTAGATAAGACTTCAGCAGCAATAATAAAGAGAGTAGGGGATAGATGGTCCCCTCGCTTAATCCCTTGAGAAGAAGACAAGAAACCATGTCTCATACCATTAATGATAACTAAGTACCATACATTTGATATGAGATTGTGCACCAAATCGATCCAATTATCAGAGAAACCAAATTTTCTAAGCACTGCATATAAGAACTCCCAATCCATTCTATCATACGCTTTAGCCATATTCAGTTTAATAATAACATTACCCCCATGATTATTTTGAGAAATATTGTGAACAATTTCCTGAGCTAACAAGACATTCTCAGAGATAAGCCTATCCTTAACAAAGCCACTTTGGCTCGGGAAAACTATTTTATGCAATAAAGTGTTAACTCTAAGAGAAATAATTTTGGAGATAATCTTGTTTGTAAAGTTGGATAAGATAATGGGTCTAAAGTCCGAGAAACTAGTAGGGTTTCCAATTTTAGGGATATGAACCAAACAAGTATGTGAATAGAATTTGGTCAAACCTTTTCCTTTGAAGAATTCTTTCAGAAAAGCAGTGACGTCCCTCTCAATTATATTCCAACAACTCTGAAAGAAGGTACCATTGAAGCCATCTGGTCCTGCTGTGCTGTGAGGGCTAAGGCTAAATACTGCTTCCTTGATTTCAACTTCCTCTGGAACCTTGCTAAGCATGCTATTGTCATCACCTGAAACACGAAAAGGAATACAATTTAGGATAGAATTGTTAATAGTAGGAGGGGTGAGATTAAAGAGATTTTGGAAATGTCTCACAGCTCTGTTGGCAATCTTATCATCTCCCTTAATCCATTTTCCTCTACTATTTTTGATTCGATTAACCTGTTGCCTTCTTTTCTTTTCTCTAAGGATGCAATGAAAGTATTTGCTATTCTTTTCTCCTTCTTCAAACCACTTTACTCGAGATTTTTGTTTGAGCATGGATTCTTGAAGATTAAGCCATCTGATATACTGAGCATGAGCCCTGTTGGCATCTTCTCTACTCTTTTCAGAGTTATCTTCTATGTCAATATCCTCCAACTCCTGAAGTTTATCTTCCCAATTTGTTACAGCATTATTAATATCACCAATTTCCTTCCTAGACCATTGGGAGAGTTTTTTACTAAGAGCTTTGAGCTTACTTTGAAGGATCCACATAGGATTCCTAATCATATCAGTATTCCATGATTCCTTCATTATATCAAAGAATCCCTCGATATTAACCTAAAAATTCAGGAATCTAAAATAAGAAATATGTTGGTAAGCAGTACTCAAGTTCTTAATAAGCAGGGGTTTGTGATCTGATCCTGTCCTAGCCAGATGCCTAACAGAGGTTCTTTGAAATAATTGATCCCAGAGATCATTTACAAAGATTCTATCAAGCCTCTTCTAAATTCTTTTCCCGGGTCTTCTGTAATTGTACCAAGTGTAATTAGAACCATTGTAACTAATGTCAATGAGTCCACAGTTGTTGATACAAGTTTGAAACTCCAGACTTCTATACATCCTGTGAGGTTTACCCCATAGTTTTTCATTAGGATCCATGATAATGTTGAAATCCCGCCCCCCCCCCCTCCCCACACACACATCAAGGGGCATCAATCACCATATTATCTAGCTCAAGAGATTGCAATAAGTCCCTTCTATCTTTGGATTTGCATTTAGCATAAACATCAGAAATATATATGTCCTTCTTACCAATAGCATTTTGAAAGTGGATTGTGATATGTTGGAAACCCAAGAATTTCTTGTACCCTCCAATTTATCATTAGTGACAAAAGGTTCAAAGATAGCCACATATTGAGTTGTTGATGTTAATAAGATTCTTTAGCCTGTGAATGACTTTTTTGGATTTAACACCCTTAATGTTCCAAAATAGAGCACTAATCATTAAGATCATTTGGAGAGTTGTCTTCCTTTTGATTCCTCCTTATAGAAGGATGGGTTCTGTTCCTATTTCTTCTACCATTTTTCCTTATTTCACTTCTTCCTCTCCTGTTATTTTGATGTTGGTCCTCCGTAATGGAATGAGAATTTTGATCTTCTTTTCTCCCCTCTTGTTGATTGTTCGACTGCTCTACACCTTGACAACTTTCAGAACTGATTTCTTTTTGATTGGGAATTCTGTTTTCATCTTTATTTTCATATAAGTCCACAACAAGTTGGAAACCTGGGAGATTCCTAATTTCAATTGGGACAGTAGAAGAGCTGGGGTCACCACATTGTTCTTGGCCTTGTATGCCTTCACTATTGTTTTCCTGTATAGTTTGAGTATTCGTGTGATGATGTTGCTGGTCCCCTGTTCCATTACTCTCATTCAGCTTCTCAGCAGAATTTTTGCTGATATTCTCATCAGTTGGATCCTGTTGGGAGATGTTGTTTTGGTCGTTGGGCTCAGAATGCTTTCTTTAATGGATTGCCTTGAGAATTCATTTTGTTTGCCAGCTGAAATATTTTCCTCTCTTCTTTTACTGTTGGATGATTTAAACACTACTTTGCTCTTCTTTTTTGGTAACTTCTTAGGCTTCTTTCCAATGTAGATCTCATTCCATTTCAATTATATTGTACTGTCTGCAGGCCAATCTAATGACGATGAAAATAAAGTAAGAACAAATTTAACTAATTAGAGAGTGTTTGGATTGGCTTTTAAGATGGTTAAATTAGCTTTTAAGCTCTTTTTAGTTTTTTAGTGTTTGGCAAAATCAAAAAGTGCTTAAAACAAGTTAAAAACTGCTTAAAACAAGCCAAAAGCAATAAGCTGGGCAATCCCAACTTACTGCTTTTTGGCTTAAAAGCTATTTCTGCTGAAAAGCTACTTTTTTTAAGCCAATCCAAACGGGCTCTTAATCTGTTCAAGAGAAATATGATACTTAAATATTATAATTTTATGATTCGTGAGTTTTATTATTATTCAATAACAATATAATTATACTTATCTAATTTCAATCAGCAAATAGACCTATTCTCTGAAAAATTAATGGCATGGTCTGCGGGCTGAAATGCTTTGAAAAATATCGTTTTTCAAAAGCTGATTTGTTTAGGTTTTGTTAAGTTTTTCTTAAAGTTTATCAAAGATTTTTCAAAACGCCCCTTTTTATTTGTTAAAGACACTTTTTTTGAAAAAAAATTGGCAACACAAGCATACATGCAATTTTGTTTTTGTTTTTACAATTTTATTGACACATAGCCATGCAAATTTGTTTTTAAATTAATTTTTCTAAACCATTTCTTTTCAAAGATCAGTCGGAATAGTTGAAATGAGGGGGTTCAGGGAGTCAAATTCCAATTCCCCGTTAAAAGAGACGCAAATTAATGATGTTGTGTCATTGTCACATGCAGGCCCGGCTCTAATAAAGATCCAAGTAAGGCTTTGCCTTAGCCCCCAAATTTTGGGGCCCCATTTTTTAAGAATAATAGATTTATAGGTATTTAAAAATTATATTCAGTATTTTTCATATGAAAGTAGAGTTTTTCTATAAAAGTTATCTCAAAGAAAAGAAATTTTCAAGATTATAATAGATAAAATCTTACCTAAAATTAACAACGTCTTAAAATAGATTAAAGTTATTGGCTATATTATTAATTGAAAAGGAATTATTAGAGAAAATCGATTATAAAAAATTACTAATAGTTTTTTTTAAAAATAAATTAGGCCTCACATAAATTTTGGCTTTAGGCCACGGATATGTTTGAGCCGTTCCTGGAGTCACATGGATCTGAAAAGAATCGGTCACAAAGTTTCTTTTTGCAGGTAAATAAGCTGATCATCTGATCCTTCCCTAAACATAGCCGAGAGTAGGCTCACTAAGTAGGATAAAACATGCTCACTCAATTAGTACTAGTTTTCTATTTGCATAACTCAAACTTGTGACCTCTGGTAGAGATGTACATAGGTTGGGTTGGTTCAGATTTTTTAATTACCAAACCAAATTAATTGTATCGGGTTATTAAATCTAAAGACCGAGCCAAACCAATAAAACTCGAATTTTTCAATCTCGGTTTTTCTCGGATTTCGGGTTATTCGGGGGTTCTCGGATTTTTTCCGGTAAAATCTTCATAGAACAAAATATATAACTTGTGCTCAAAATATTTCTTTAATCCTAATAAGATACAACTATATAAAAAAATTTTCAAGAAAATAATACAAAATATGAGATGTGTCATGGCATTATCCTAAAATATTCAATAATAAAGACAATAATATCATGTAATATAAATATTGCTAATTAAAGAGCCATAATAAAATAAACATAATCTAAAAGTACTAAGTCATGCTAAAATAAGTAGACTAATAAGTGAGTATTAATTACATGACTAAACGCTAAAGAAAAAATAAAAGAAGATCATGCATTTTTATCTAATTATTGCAAAACAAAAAATAGATATTCAATACATTCCCATTCGTAGTATTGAACTGAATGTCTTTTGTTAACATTAATATTGATTTGATTTTGGTTTGGGCTTTTGTTAGCATTATTTAATTTACTAATATTAATGGCTATAAAATTTATTGGAACATTCAAAAGTTCTAAGTCCAACCTTGAAATAATACCTTAAAAGATAAAATTATGAAATTTTTTAAGAAATATTTATAAATTACATCACAATAAGTATATTTATATATTAATATATCTAAAATTTCTATATATGTAATGTCGGGTTGGTTTGGTTTGGGTTTGACTTTCTTTAGTTAAAACCAAACCAAACCAATTATGTTCCGATTTTTTTTTTTCCAACACCAAACCATAGCCGGATTTTTTTTTCTCCGTTTGACTTGGATTATTGGGTTGATGCGGTTTGTCGTTTTCTTTGTACACCCCTAACCTCTGGTTAAAGGTGGAAGAATTCGATCATTCCATCACACTTCTTAATAAAGCTTATTATTTTAAACGGGCCGGAGCTATAATGCAAAATATGAGTTCGGCCGAAGCAGTAGCTTAGGTCCAAATTATGTATTTGTCTTAAAATTTTTAATATATTTATACAAATTATTAACTTAGAATCCAATGGATACTAGAGTTCCAAATCCATAAGCTTTAAATTATCTAAGCGTCGCCTCTGATTCTCTAGACAACCATCCCACACACCCATTGCTGAAACGTTGTTGGCCTCGCCACTCCTTCTCTATCAGAGGTGAAGTCCTGCAGGACAAAATGATTCAAGGAGCCTGATATAGAAATATACAAAAAGCTCAATATCGGAGGAATGAAATGTTAGTTCTCTTTCTGTTCCATTAAATGATTCCATTACAGTGTATCAAACTAACACCTGGGGTGTCAACCACTTACCGTCTTAGTGTATATTTTGTATGGCAATTATTGTTGGGCTAAAACGGCTCAAAGATACTCTTAATAAGGTGTGATATTATTCACTTTAAGTCAAGCTCGTACGGTTTTCCCCAAAAGGCCTTACACCATTAAGAGATTCATACATATTATATGTAGGCTCCCAATCTTTTCAGCTACCAATGTGGAACTTTGTTCGCACACCCAACAATCTCCTCCTCGAACTAAGTTTCACGTGGTCCATCAACACGATCCACGGGTCTTCCCTCGAACTAAGTTCTAAGTGGCCCATTACCACGATCCATAGGTCAATTTCCGAGATTAACTGTGTGCTGTCCATATTGTTAGAGTATTATGACAACCGAAGTCCGCAACTAACTTCTTCTTGTTGCTCGCTGACCCACACTATCACTTTGCCATCTCATACTTGTCTCGCCGAACTAGGGCTCCGATACCACTTGTTAGGATCGAAATAATCAGGTGTCATGCGGAAGCTAACAAAGCAAACCTTGAACGACGATAAATCAGACAACAAAAGAGAAATATTTTTCAAAAGATACACAAACATTTAACGTGGTTCGGCAATTGATCTACGTCCACTGGCGGTGATGAGCAATCCACTATATAAAAGAGAGTACAAAACATCGAGAGGACAACCTCACATAGAGGCAAATACAAGTGACATGCTAACACTTGTGTCGAAAATTCTCCCCCCTAACAAGATTCTCAAACCCCTTATGGCTACATCCCTTATGGCTACATTGTGGATGCTCCTGAATGAATGAAGGATGCTCAATTTATAGAAGTCGAAACTTTTTCCTACAAGAAAAGGGAGTAGCCAAATATGTGAGATTTATAATTTCCTTAGACAAGAAGGAAAACCCAATTATGATAATTATGTTGTCATTTCCTTTAAGAGATAGGAAAATCGAATATGGTAAGAAAATCAGGACAAACACCTAACAATTCTCGCTTCTGGCCGAATTTTTCTAACAAAATAAATTCGACCCACCTTTTTCACATAAGCTTCCATGTTGTACGTCCATCTCCAAGGCAATGCTATGTTACGTACACTTTAAAAACTGACAAGAATGATAAAACTAAGAAGCTGTCCTAGTTCAGTGTGAGTTTCGTCAGTCAGTACTTATCGCGCCATATCTTCCACTAGATACATTGATGATCTTTCAATAAATAGTTTTACAAAGTAATAGGCTTACTGTTGAACTAATTGGCAAGTGCAGAAATTCCACTAGATACATTGATGATCTTTCAATAAATATTAGTCATTTCAAGACTTGGCCCATTTATTTTGTGTTAGTGCTGTCCTATTGTATTTGTACCATCTTGGGTACCTTTTTTTTTTTTATTTAATAAAATTTTACCTTATAAAAAAAAAAGGCTTGGCTATATTTAGTTAATGTATATTTTTTCAAATGCAGTAAATTTTACTTGCTTCAGTGATAGTTTTCTTTTCTAAGATTATCAATATTTGCACATAGTTTTAGAAGCTCTTAATAGTAATGGATTGTGTCTTTGAGCTTCAAATTTATTTCTCATATTTTATCATTGTAGAATGAGAGGCTAGCTGGATGTAAATACTAGAATATTAAATGGTATTCTGAAATGGTAAAAAATTATGCTACTATGTTGTAATTGAAGGAAGGTAAGGCTCGAATAGTAGAATGACACTACAAGAAATCCGGAAAAAAGCGACCACAAAAATCGACCAAAGTTGGTCGCTTACAAGTCACAAAGCGACCAAAAAGCGTCCAAACTGGCTTGATCGCTATTTTGATGGTCCCTTTACCTTAGAGACCAAAGTTGGTCGCTAATTAGCGACCAACTTTGGTCTCTAAAGTAAAAGGACCAAATATTCCGGTAAACAATATACCGACCAACTTTGGTCGCTTTAATATTTTAATAATATAAATTTAGCGACCAAAGTTGGTCTCTATATTTAAATTACGTTTATTTATTTGTTTATTATTATTCAAAATATAGCGACCAACTTTGGTCTGTAAACCAAATATAGTATCATATACTATAACATGCTATATATGTAGTTAAAGCAGCACGAAGTGTGTGTGTTATATATATACACACACTAACATATACTATAACAAGTTATATATACGTTATAGTATTACAGTGAAGTGTCTGTGTGTGTGTCTATATATATATATATATATATATATATATATATATATAAAAGCGCTCGGAACACAGGGCCGGGTTCTTTTAGGTATTGATACACTTGTAAATTGATTCATCGACTTATAACCTACTTAGATGCATGCATATATATATTAAAAACAAAAC